CAGACTTGAGCAATGGGCCCTATCCAACAACATGAAATTTAATGTGGAGAAAAGCAAGGTTTTACACCTAGATTGGAAAAACCAAAGGTATAAGTACAGATTATATGAAAGTGAGCTCAAAAACAGTAACTGTGAAAGGGACCTTGGAGTCCTAGTGGACAATCACTTAAACATGAGCCAGCAGTGTGCAGCAGCAGCCAAGAAAGCTAATATCATCCTTGGTTGTATAAACAGAAGCATAGAATCAGAATCATGTGAATTATTAGAATCGTTTTATAAATCCTTAGTAAGACCACACCTGGAATACTGCATCCAGTTTTGGTCACCACATTACAAAAAAGATGTTGAGACTTTTAAAAAAAAAAGTGCAAAGAAGAGCAACTAAGATGATGAAAGGCCTAGAGACAAAAGCATATAAAGAATGGTTACAGGAATTGGATAAGACCAGTCTAAAGAAAAGAAGGACTAGGGGTGACATGATAGCAGCATTCAAGTATTTGAAAGGCTGCCACAAAGAAGAAGGGGTCAACTTATTTTCCAAAGCACCAGAAGGCAAGGCAAGAAACAGTGAATAGAAAGTAATCAAGGAGAGAAGCAACCTGGAATTAAGAGAAACTTCCTAACGGTGAGAACAATTAACCAGTGGAACAGCTTGCCTTCAGAGGTTGTAGGTGCTTCAGCAATGGAGGTTTTTAAGAAAAGACTGGACAGCCACTTATCCAGTGGTATAGGCCTGCTTGAGCTTGGTCTAGACTCTAGAAGATCTCCAAAATCCCTTTCAGCTCTATTCTGACTGATTTATAGTATGCATGGAAATGTTTTTCAACTTAAAGGATTCAGGACTGCACCATAGCCATTAACTACAACTAGCTTTTAAAGAAATAATGAAGCATTTCTATGATAGTTCCATTTGTTAATTATTAAGGCAAGGTTCTTGCTCTATAAACTCTACAGAAAAGTCATTGAAGGCTATTTTCATACATTATATATATATCATGAAAAACTGACTGATGGAGAAGTGCATCAATGTTTTCTTATAAAATAATTCTGTATACTATACTATATGGAACCTTTCCATCATAAACTTATGTTGTTGCATTGTTCATGGTGTTTTAATTTATAAATAATTGAATGATTTAATTTTAATTTAAATAATTTCTATATGCTTACCTTTCATAAACTGCTAGCAGATAGTGGGTTTTTTCTATCTTATCTAGTAATTTGCAGGGATTTTGCTTCTCAAATCTTTACATGATAAGTAGTAGCTCTTCTGGACTTATGTGTCCATCCATATCAATGAAATTAGTGCAACAAAATGTCATTAATGTAGTGTTGATCATAGTGGCCATATAAGTGGAAGCAATAAAAATGTCTACTTGAGGAGTTAGATTGTAGGGGTTAGAGGTTTTCAAAAAGTCAATATGGCAATTGCAGCAATGGTATTGAAACCATTACTGTTTGTATACTATATATTGATATTCTAAGCATGTGGGTCAGAGTTTAAATTGTGATGTCATGACTACCATCATGATTTTTGTGACATGTCCTCCCAGATGCCCTCAATTACCATTGTATATCATTACTTTGCTACAGCACCTACTGTATGCTAGAAATGTGATCAAGGAAGTTATCAGTAGTGAAGCAGAAATCATTTATTGTTATTTCTTGCAGGGGGGAATGGGTAGCATTTTTTAGATTTCCATTCTTCAGATTTATTTTTGTTTTCGTTTATTTCTTTGGTGCCTTCTAGTTAGTGTTGACTCTTAGTGACTGCCAGTACTAGCTCAAGGCAAGATTTCATCTAGCCAGGAAAAACCAAAGGTACAAGTATAAATTAGGTGAAACCTGGCTCAAAAACAGTAACTGTGAGAGGGACCTTGGAGTCCTAGTGGACGATCACTTAAACATGAGCCAGCAGTGTGTGGCAGCAGCCAAAAAAGCTAATACAGTCCTTGGTTTTATAAACAGCGACATAGAACCAAAATCACGTGAATTGCCCTCTTCCTAGGGCTGAGAAAAAGTGACTGGCTCAAGGTCACCTAGTGGGCTTTATTTATATCCGTCATGGTATCCCCATTTCTAGCTTTGTGCTTTAACTATTGGTTCTCCTTCTTCAGATTAAACATGGAAATACAACAGCCAATCATGCTTGAGGTGTGGAGTGTAGCTATACGGATAGGGAAACTGAACATATCTCTTTGGGTGCATGAGAGGGGCCGTGTTCAGGCAATCAGAATTCAGGAAAATTCTGGCTCATTTGCTTCAGATAGGGAACAGGCTGGAGAACTGGTTTCAGAAATGGTGATTGTATTCTTTGAAAATCCTGGAGAGGGGGTAGAGTGACTGGAAAGGAGCAAATATAGTCATAATGTGAAAGAAAGGGAAGGGGTGACAGAAAATTACAGAGCAGTTAGTTTACTATCTCCTGAATAAGTGTTAGAACAGATGGTTGGGTGAAATGTTTGTGACTAGTTAGAAAAGAATCTCTGACATTACCAGGGTCAGCATAAGTATGTCAAAAAGAAGTCTTTTTATGACAGTAACTAGTTGAATATATCAAGGGAATAATAAGGTTATAGTAAAAATTGATCTTAGTGAAATATTTGTCAAAATCTCTCATGATATTCTTGTGGACAGGATGAATAAATATGATGTAGAAAGTACTGCATTTTAATAGGTTTGCAGCTAGTTGAACGACTGCACTAAAGGATGTTAATAATTGGTTCTGCACTGATCTAGAGAAAAGTATAGAGTGGAATCTCCCAAAGCTCTATATTTGGTTTTGTTATTTGCTATCTTTACAAGTGACCTAAAGCAGAGGTCCCCAATCTTTTGGGCACCAGGGACTGGTTTCATGGAGAAAAGTTTTTCCACGGATCGGAGAGTGTGTGGTTTTGTGTGCTGCCTGTGTCCCACAGATGGGGCTTTGCTTGTTTGTGCGGACCAGTTGCTGGCATGCCGTGGCCCGGTACTGGTCCACGGCCCGGGGGTTGGGGACCGCTGACCTAAAGAATGAAATAAAAGGGATTGGCTAACACAACCAAAGGGGATTGGCTAACACAACCAATTATTCAAAATGGTTAGGAAAAAAACAATACATGAGAGAAAAGAATTTAGAGCTGCTAGTGAACTAACAGCTGGACATCAAACAAGTACAGTCATGCAGCAGCTAAAAATGACAGTAAAACCTGGGGCTACATTAATAGAAGCATTCTGTTCAGTTTTGTCTGGACAATTTTTACTATATCCTTATCTTCCGTATCATTTGCATTTTCAGATATCAGAGAAGTGTCCTCCACATGTACAGGTTATTGATGTTTCTTCCTCCAATTTTAATACCACATTTCTCTTTTTCCACTCCAGCTTCCTTCTATATATATATAGAATTCAGCACATAAGTAGAATAAATAGGAGAAGTCAAAGTCTAAGGCAGTGGTTCTCAACCTTTCTAATGCCGCGACACCATAATACAGTTCCCCATGTTGTGGTGACCCCGAACCACTTATACATCACCGGGTGCCAGGGGCGTGGCCAAAGAAAAGGGGAAAAAATGGCAGACAGCCTTGTTTGGCGATTCCCGTGAAATGGTCGTTCGACCCCAAATGGGGTCCCGACCCACAGGTTGAGAACCACTGGTCTAAGGAGAGTGTATATAGCCTTGTCTTACTCTTAGGCTAGCCTGGATCTAGTCTGCCATTTCCCATTGACTTTCCTGTCAGAAATCTGTTGGGAAGATTGCAAATGGCAAGCATGTGACCACAGAATACAACCATCATAAATGCACAATGTTTGCCAAGTGCATGAATTTATTTATTTAAGAAATATATATGGCCACCCACTCATTCTCAGTGACTCTGGGCAGCTTACAAAAATCAAAACAACAGTAATAAAAAAGCAATAACCCTCCAATCATAATCATGTGACCCGGGGGAACTTCCTAAGTGTGAGGTCCCTTTTCTCAGCACCTTCGTAACGTCAGTCACTAAACAAATGATTATAAAACAAAGACTGTATTGTTCCTCAGCATTTTCTAAAACCAACTTGAATACCGGTATTGACACCAAAGTTGTGAGTTGGGTGGCATACAATTGTAATACATTATGATTGGGTACTATGCAGTTGGATTCAAGATCTGAGACTGATGGAAATTTAATAATTTAAGTTATAACTAAGGACCTAAGAATTATTAAGGTAGCATCTAAGAATATAAGCAGTTCCAAGCAGGATGGTTTTATTGTTATGGTTCATCACATAGTCAATCAGATATTTAGACTGGATTTGGCATTTTTATCTGCCTATCAAGTACTTCCCAAGGACTTTCCAGATGTTATTCTTTGATGATATTAAAGGTATTGTTTCAGGAGCTGCCTGCAAGTAAAACTGCTTTTTGCAATGAGTGGTGGTGATTTTGTCAATGTCGAAGGTGATGGTGCTCCAGATGTTTTGGAATTGCATTTAAGGTGTCTATTACGATTGCTACTATCTTTGCTTTCTTTTAGCACAGTTGTTCTATTTCTATTTGCAGGTTTTTGTATTTTGTGATTTTCTCTGGTTCTTTCTCTTCTATTATGTTATTTCCAGGTATTATCACATCCACTATTAAGACTTTTTTTGTCTTTCTTATTGACAATTGTTGAGTCTGGGGTGCTTATCTGTTCTATTATTATTGGTGAAATGGAATTGGACTCATTTTTTTAAAAAAAGTGGATTAGAACCCCTAAATGTTTCATACACACACACACACACACACAGAGGTTTGCAGTATCAATGCCTGCATCGATGGAGCTAATTATTGCCTGTACCATACTAAAGGTTTAAATAAATGCAGCTATAAAAGATTTCCCCAACTTCCTTTTTTTGTGATCTGCACCAAATATTTTATTAGTACTAGATAAAATTTTGATTTTTGGTTCTTTTTGTAAATATTTCTTCAATGAGTGGTAGCTGTAGAACTTTAGTGACTATTCAGTTTGCACCAAACTTTCTTCCATTCTAATTAGGGGACAGAGAAACATTACAGCAGCACAGCAGGATGCAGGAAAATGTACCTACAGAGGTCAGTGCAGTTCCTCCTCCAAGTCATGTAACAGTAAGAAATCCTGCCGCTAATCCCCGACGAATGCGACGACTTATTGCTGAAGATCCTGAATGGAATCTAGCCATAGTTCCACAGCTCACAGAGCTCTGCATCCAGCACATAATCAACAATTTTGAAAGTAAGTCACACAGCTTTCCTATATAAACTTGCTTGCTGAAGAAATATCATTTAATACAGTTTGGAAATATCTGTTAGTGAGGGTCACCTTGCTGAAGAAATATCATTTAATACAGTTTGGAAATATCTGTTAGTGAGGGTCACCTGAGGAAAAAGGAAATTAAATGGGATGACTTTTTAAAATCTGTTAAAACAGTTGTACCACAGACTAGATTTCTGCTAACATTGCTGGTCAAATCATTTAATTCATAATTTTGCCTAATTTGAATAATTGCCATCTCTACTGTAGCACAGTATATGAATTCTAAAGGTAGCCTGAAATTGATTTACAGTAAATTATTCCCTTTGCCTGAGAATGGCCGTTTTGTGAAGACAACTAAATATTCTTAATAATGTTCTCATCATACTCACCAAACTGGGAAGATTTTTTTTTAATGGAAGACATATTAAAACAGCATATATGCCTACTCTAAGTGACATATAGATAAATTGGTGAATAGCTCTCTATAATCCCTTGTAATCCCAATTTCTTTCCAACCAGAGAATCCTATCTTGGAAAGGCTACTTCGTGATCACCAAAAGAAAGTGCTAGAAAAGATTTCCACAAGCCTACCCCTTACTGTGACTGCAAATTTGATCAGTGATGAAGGCTACTGGAAACGGTGCTGTACTGGAAGATGGACAGTTTGTGATGTATCTGCCTATGGAAACAGTTGGAAACGGATGTTTTTTGAACGTCATTTGGAAAACATTTTAAAGTTTTACATTCCAGATACTACTAGTCCCAACGAAGTTCTGGATCTCATTCCACTCTGCAAGGAATATGTGAAAAAACTAGAGATTGACCAGTTCCTTCCACCAGTGAAGCTGGATCAAAAGAAGGAAGATGAAGATGTCTCTGATACTGAAAGTGATGCTGGACTAGATGAACCTTCTATGGACCATTTTGATTTGAGCCTGCTTGTTCCTGCACTCCCTCATCTTGAGGAGCTTCATCTTTCATATGGTGTTAAAGACTGTGGCATGAATTTTGAATGGAATCTTTTTGAATTCACTTATCGGGATTGTTGCTCACTGGCCAGTGCTATTAAGAAATGCCCAACTTTAAAAGTAATTTTTTAAATACAGTATTATAGTCTTCTGTAATCTTAAATATCAAATGAGAAGTCCTCAAAATTGTAAACTAGCCCGAATCATGGTGTGACACAGTTCTTCCATGGTATAAAGGAATTTAGTGCTGAAGTTGGGAAACTTATGAAAAAACCATTAAAAGGGGGAAGGAGGAAACAGGCCATTAAAGAGGCTGTTGGAGGAGCAATTATACAGTCCAGAGACTGAAGCAAGCATGAGAGAGAAACTCAGAATAATCTCACTTCATTCTGTTTAGTATGGGGGGGAGGGGAGCAGAGAAAAAGTTAGTTTTTCAAAAGCCTGCTGTTATACACCTTTCTCAGGCTTTCTCAATAGGGCTTCCATAGTTCTGCAAGAGGTTGCTGGGGTTCCACAAGAAATTGTGATTTAAATATATATATATATATATATATATTGATCTTCACGTGCTGTGCAATGCTAGCATTCATACTGGTGGGAATATTTATACATTGTGATTTAGGTGCCAGCCTGTTCTTTCGCAGTTTTAAATGTTGCAAAATGTGGATTGTATAGATTAGACGTAATTTGTTTTGTGAAGTTCTCATATATACATATTTTGTGTTTGATTTTTATGCATTGGCTTCCCAAGATGGACAATTATTTTGAAGATTCCTCCAGGGTAAAAATGTTAAGAAAGTCTGCCCTGCAACAATATAGCAGTATTCTTAGAATATCTGCAGTGTCTATTTCTTGAGCATTTTACCTCAAAGGGTTGACATTGATCTTGAAAGCCTCTCCTAAATTTATCTTCAGTCTTTCTTACATTAAACAAATTCAAGACAAGTTTATTTTATTTTTTATGCTTGTTTTAATCTCTGGATATCCAAGTCTCTCCCTAATAGCTCCTTCCTTCCTTCACCTGTTAACAGATCTTTTATATCTTTCTCAAGGTCAGCTTTAAATTTCTTTACATGCGTCCCAATCTGTTAAGGATCATGAGAGAAGGATCTGGACCTTTTGATTCTGCTATGATGAATTCATGGCTTTTACATCATACAGTTGCCAATGGTATTTATTTCCAAATAAAAGTCAGATAAAATAAAAGCCTAGGACAGTGCAATGGCTCAGTGGTTAAGATGCTGGGCTTGTCGGTTGGAAAGCCTACAGCCCAGGTTTGAGACCTGAGCATCGTGCAATGGGGTGTGTTCCAGACCTAGCCCCAGCTCCTGCCAACCTAGCAATTCAAAAGCATGCAAATGCAAGTACATAAATATGTACCACTTCGGTGAGACGATAACAGCGCTCTGTGATGTCATGCTGGTCATGTGACTACAGAAACATCTTCGGACAGTGCTGACTCTATGGTCCTTGAAACAGAGATGAGCACCGCCCCCTATAGTCGGCAACAACTAGCAGAATAAAATCCTAAGATGAAAACTTAGGATTCCTAAAATTGCCTCAGGGTTGCTCAGGGCTGGCACAGGGCAACTTCTACTGTTTACTTTACTTGTGTTATCATAAATATTCCAAATAAAATCTAGATTAAATTGCAGAAAAGAAAGTTTAAAACTTCTCTTCCATTAGCATGCCACTTCAATCCAGTTTATGGACCAATACAACTTTTGAATAAAAAATTAAAACCATAAGGAAATGATAAATTCAAACACTGATCTTAAAGGCTTCTTCTAAGGCAGTGGTTCTCAACCTTTTTAATGCCGCGACCCCCAACCGGTCATAAGTCGAGGACTAAACCGGTCATAAGTCGAGGACTTTCCCTTTTTTTGCACACGGCAGCGGAGGCCTAAAGCGAAAAGCTTTTATAAAACCCAGCTGAGGGCCTAGGACTGGGGTGACGATGCGCATGCCCACAGAGAGGTCTCTGAGTGCCGCCTCTGGCACCCATGCCATAGGTTCGCCACCACTGATCTAAGGCACAACCACATTTACTGTTTTATTGGTTATTTAAATGCCAATATAAACCCTACTGTTCTGATGCTGCTGCACAACTGATAATGTGATTTGCCTCCTCCCATAAAATGTAGCTAAGGGAATGAAATAGAAACAAATAATTTTCTAGGGCAGGATAGACTCCATCAGACTCAAAACTCTATATGATTCAAATCCACATTTTGCGGCCCAGAGCCACCCCTTGAACCATAATTCTTTAATATTCCATGGTTTCTCACCAGTTTTGCCACTTTATAAATAAGCATATCACAGGGGGGGGGGAGGAATCCATTCTCTTCTCCTCCCAATTCACCCCTGTTCACCCCTGTACTTGGCCTGGTCCTCAACTGTTCCAAAAATCTTACGTTTTGCCCTTAGCCACCAAGCACCCTGCCCACCTTGTTTTAGGCATCTAGAGTGAAAAAAGTGTCTTATTGGAAATACGTTAACATCTTTATAAATGCATGTGACCTTATTGTGTTTGTGTAGGTGTTCAAGCTGACCCGGAGCAAAGTGGATGATGACAAAGCCAGGATACTGATCCAACACCTATTAGACCACCCTTCACTGGTAGAATTAAACTTATCCCACAATTTGATTGCAGACAGAGGAGCACGAGCTATTGGCAAGCTAATTAATCGCAGTAAGATGGTAACCCTTAACATCTGTGATAACAGGATTCGGGCACAAGGAGCCCAAGCTATAGCTCATGCACTGTCCAAGAATTCTATTTTGATGTCACTCAATTGCCGCCTCAACTGCATTGAGGATGAGGGAGGCCAAGCCATTTGCCATGCTCTGCTGCTTAACAGCACACTGACCACTCTCCACTTGGGTGGCAATGAATTGTCAGAACCAACAGCCACTCTTTTCTCTCAAGTCTTGGCTCAGAACACTACTTTGTCTCATATCAACCTCTCCTGCAACCACATTGGACTAGTAGGTAACCTTTCTGAAATGGGAGTATATGTTTCTTACACAGTGCTTAGATTTTTGGAAGTATTGTCGTACAATCTTGTCAGGAAATTAGATATGAAGGATAAAGCTGGGACATTGGTTGGGAAGAAAATTGGTCTGGTCTACACATTCAGGAGAATTCCTAGATATAAAAGGCATCACAGAGACAAGTTCTTAGCAGAAAGCAGTTGACTTTTCTTCTTGCAGAAAGCAAGTCCAACTGATAAAATTTTACCTTCTCAATTTTTGGCTATTTTTTTAAAAAAAATTGCAGTTGAAAACCCTGACAAATAAGAATACTGATGAAGTTTATGCTGATAAAGAAGAAAGAAACATACTTTTTTTTTTTTTTTTCTGGAGTCCTTGAGTACTTCTTGGCAAGAATCTCTAAAACATCCTTTTCTACATTAGGCAGTTATTTGCTAAGGTGCCTCAAGTCCAAAATAGGTAGCAAAGCAGAAAATGCCTCTGTGCTGGATGCCACTTCCTATAACACTTGTGTAGGAAGCAGAGCAGATAACTGGTCAACCAGCAATGTGAGGAGAAGCTGGGTGAACCAGCATCAATGCTCTCATTTAAGAACTGGGTAAACTGTAACACAATGAGGAGGAGTCTTTTTGATCTAGTGTTGGCTTTTGTTTTTAGAAAGTTCAATTTGCAATTGTATCTGCAGATTGAAATCCTATAATACAATATATTTTTTCACTTCAGATGTAGTCAAATATCTCATTTTTTTTATCATTCTGTGGCAGATTAAATGTTGAACGAGACAGCAAGTTTGGTGTAATAGTGAAGGCATTAGGCTCAAAACCAGGTGACCTGATTCTACTCCCAACCTGGGCACAATGCCAATGGGGTGACTTTGGGCTGGTCACTTTCTCTCGGTCCTAGAAAGGAGGCAATGGCAAACCACTTCTGAAAAACCTTGCCAAGAAAACTGTGGGGACTTTCCCAAGGAATCTCTGAGAACCAGAAATGATAAGAAAAAAGTGTTGACCTGGGTAGTTTCAGGCTTATTGGCTAAACTTATAGTACTGCAGAAGTTATCTTTGTTGCAGGAATCAACTTAGTGAACAAATCAGTCTGGTTTACTTCTGTAAATACATAGCTTGCAATTCAGCATTAGACACCATTTTACTTAGATTAAAAGATGTAACTTCCTTATTTCCATAATGTTAATAATTGTAACATTAAGTTACGGGCATTTGCCAAGCTTGGCTTTTCAATAGAAGCATTTTGTTGCTTGCCTTGGATTTCAGACATTGCTTGATTCTCAGTAGATGTCTCTTCCCTATTTTGGCAGTCAAACCAGTATTTAGACTATCAGCATCCAAATAGCTTATATTACCAAATACGTAATGCTCACATTCATTATAACATTAATATAATTTCAGAATACAACTAAAATATCAATAAGAAACCTTCTTTATGGCTATGCAATTAAATAAGTTTTCAAGAAATGACAATATATCTTTTGATAGCTGAAAAGATTTAATGTAAAAATACAAATACAAATACAAAAGAGAGGTATTCTCAATTTCCAGATGACTATTATATGTAATCATTAATCTAACTTTGTGATTAATTTCTTTATTTTAAAAAGTATAGAATTCAGAACAGGGAATTAATGAAGACACGTTAGCTCATGTCAAAGGATCACCAGCTTGATTTCATTCCTCAGTTTCAATATTATTCCTGACTACTTTGTCACTGCCTTTAAAATCTATCTAGTAGCACATGTGTCATGGTGTCATTTGATAATTCTCATTATGCCAATATTGTTCTTAATAGACTGCATAGGTGCATCAGCATTAAAGGAGTTAATGGATTTTTTTACTCTTTCTTCTTGCATGTCAACGCTTTGAAGGATTGCCTACCACATCCACCTAGTATTTTCTAAGTAAATCCTTTATTATCTCCTGACAACATAATGAAGCAATAGGCATATCTCACTGTCATTGCATCTTCACAACTGAGAGCATAATCCATAATCCATTATGTGAGCAGTTATCTTTAAATTGCAGAAGGTTAGCAAAAGTGCAGCATCATGGACAGATTTGGGATCACAGTAACTCAGAATAAAAAATATCCAAACTATCCTTTACTCTGTTCTTTTTAAGCTTAAAAACTACTGGTATTCATTGCAGCTGAGTCTGCCCTGAGAAATATTCTAGGCTGCTCTGATTCTCCACACAACAAAGTTGAAAGCCCAATCATCCCAGAGGAAGGGTATAATTTCAGTCTAGGTTTTGGGAAAGAATTTAAGTGCCCTGAAAGTTCAGAGAAATACTGGAAATGAGCTAGAATGAAGCCAGCCCATTTTTTTTCAGCATGACATACCAGGAAAAGTGTTCAGTTATAAAAACGTCTTAGAGGTATTTGGTGAAAATGAGTTATGGATTGGGGGGAAATATGTGCACATTTTACAATAGCTCGAAAGGAATTTCAAGAAAAATGTTCTTCAGGCTACTTTTGTACATTTTAAAGTAATATTTAGGTTGTGAAAGCCTATTTGGTCTTCATCCTAAGTCTCTTTATTGATTTCAGGATGGAGGGAAGCAATTGTTGGAAGGCATGTCAGATAACAAGACAGTAGTGGAATTTGACCTCAGACTGGCGGAAGTGGGACAAGAGAGTGAATATCTTATTAATCAGACTATAAAGGCCAATCAGGAATTAGCTCGTCTCAGAAACCGGCACCATTCCACCACATAACATGGACCACAAACTACTGAGGAAAAACAGCCTACGTAGTATAGTTTTAACGTTGCCTCTACACTTAACATTTGTTTAAGCATCTGTTTTTAGATAATCGTTGTAGTCAAAGCTATTTGTTCTCAGCTTATGACTGAATGGATGTAACTCCATATTCTTCTACTAGTTTGGTGAAATTTTTGCACCTCTCTTGGATTCATGCTCTTGGATAATTAAGTCTGTAACTATGCCAAGAATGTAACTGAAATAACCATATGCTGCATCCCTATTTAGATTTGCTTCTTTGTTTTTTTTTTATTCCTCTGTTATTTTTCTTTGGTCAATAATTAAATGGTAAATTATTCATAATGTATAAAGCACAGAGGGAATATTATTTATAATTTAACCATTCATTTTAAATAGTTTAGCTTGCCTTTCTGGAAACGGAACTTTATACACTAAATATGTAACAACTATTGTTGTTAAACAATAAGAAAGAATTCCAGGTCTAATACTTCTTATCAATTATTGGATTTTATTTAAAAAAAAAATTTGATAGAACTTAACTGTTTTTCTGTTCTTCATTTACTTCCTATCTCGCTTTTACTCCATTATTTCTCTTCTATCCTTTTTATTCAAAATATTTTCTACTAAATTAGAATATGATAAAGTAAGCAGTAAGGTAGATTTTAAAAAATAAGTTAAAAGATTCAGCTTTTCCTAGGCTTTATTTTAAATCACATCACCTTCTAAGGAATTGATAGCACAAGGCTCAGTCCAGGTGCTATTCTACTATTTTCAGTCTCCTTTCAGTCTTAATGAATATCAGCATTAATGCAAGGAAAGCTTCAATTTGAGCCACAATGAACGATGCTTAATGTGAGAATTAGAAATTGCAAGATCAGAAGCTAAGGGCCTAAATCTAAATTGGTCTGTTATAAATACAATACATGGCCCTCAGCATGTAAGTAGGAAGAAGCGGCATAAGATTTGAATCTTGACTTACTAGATCTGACATTATTGGTGTGAATCATGGAGTTGGTTTACTTGATAGTAATATTTATTAGTATCTATAATAAAACTATCTTATCAAAAACTATGTCCTTGAATATCTGCCTCTGAACTTTCTAGTTCTGTATCAGTCTATGTACAGCCTAAAATTTAATCCTACAAGTGACCTTGAATTACAGAATTACATAATATACAAACATGTATCAGCTTTAGCTAGTGACAACAAATTTTTATTTTTACTCAATTAAACTTGGGCCGAGACGTGTATTGTATTTCTTCTTCTTCTTCTTCTTCTTCTTCTTCTTCTTCTTCTTCTTCTTCTTCTTCTTCTTCTTCTTCTTCTTCTTCTTCTTCTTCTTCTTCTTCTTCTTCTTCTTCTTCTTCTTCTTCTTCTTCTTCTTCTTCTTCTTCTTCTTCTTCTTCTTCTTCTTCTTCTTCTTCTTCTGCCATATCCATTATCAGATGTTGGCGATCATGTTGGTGATCCTGCTGCTGAGTTTTGTCCAAACCAGTCCCTTAGATTTTGAAGTCACGATGTTCTTCTTCTGCCTGGACCTCATTTGCCTTCAATCTTTCCCTGGAGGATTAAATGGAGTATGCCATATTTTTCTGGGTGTCACATCATATGTCCGAAATATTCTAATTTTTGTTTTTTAATTGTTTTGATGATTTCCCTTGGCTTTCCCAGGCGGCTTATCACCTCCTCATTTCTGATCTTGCCAACCCAGCTTATATGTAACAGCTGCCTGTAAATCCACATTTCAAATGCTTCTAGTCTCTTCAGGTGACCTTCTGTCAGAGACCAACTCTCTAATCCAGTGGTGGCGAACCTATGGCACGGGTGCCAGAGGCGGCACTCAGAGCCCTATCTGTGGGCATGCACACCGTTGCCCCAGTCTTAGGCCTTCAGCTGGGTTTTATAAAACCTTTTCGCTTTAAGCCAAAAAAAAAAAGATTCAGTCACTCAGTCAATTTCAACTTCTCGCGGGAAAAAAAAAGATCTTGCAAAGTTGGAATTGATTGATTGAACTTTTTAGTCCCATCCAGTCTGCCATTACCACCGCAGCTATGCCCACCCAATGGGCCACACCCCCCAAATTGACTACACCCAGCCAATAGTCCACACCCACCCAGCACCCGACGATGCATAAGTGGGTTTTGGGTCGCAGTTTGGGCACTTGGTCTCTAAAAGGTTCGCCATCACTGCTCTACTCCATAGAGCAGGATAGAAAAAATATAGCATCATTGTACACATGATGATATACTTCTTAATCTGCCTGAAAACATTTTAGCACATATCTGAAGCCAGTACAACCTTTTAGCAGTTTAAATAAGAATTGGAGCAGCAAATAGTCAATTTCAGCTTTTGAGATACAATAAAGTACCAGATCAGAAAAAGGACTACTCCAGAAACTGACATAAGAGAGATAATCAGACAAAAGAGCAAGGCCAGTAGATTACAATGGCTGCCAGAAGTATGAGAAGTGGAAGATATTCTACATTACTGGAGCACAAAAACAGTTTTCAGATCCACACAGAAGAAACCAATCTTGAGCCTTCAGTAAAAGAAAAAAGAGACACTGAAGAGCTGAAGAGGGAATACAGCTGCAAGGAGATAATTGTGGGAGTTACTGATACATTACCAAGTGGAACTGAAATACACTGCAATTGGATCTATCAGCTTACAGAAGATGCTGTATGCCAAGCATAAACACTATGGACGTGATAAAATGTTCTAAGGCTTATGAAATTGATTAATAATTATCTTGTTAATCCAAAGGAGAGAAGTGTCACATAAAGAATGGCTACAACTGTATTCTGATGCAATTTGACATCTTGGAAGTTCAAGATCCTGAGGCTCAGGCAATATTTTAGTCCATCCTTGCAGTTCAGGGAAGCAGAGCAAAAAGTGAAGAAGAGTATTTCAGGTGACTAGCTGCAGAAATAATGTTGAAGAGAAAAATTGGTGTCAGGGATTATCATATTTAAATGATGGACTGCTAGCATTAAATAGGTCATACTTCAAAAGAACCAGTAAAAATATGTTTGGCTGAAGTGTGACAAAAATTATTAGGAGAGCTTTAGACCAGTGGTTCTCAACCTTTTTAATGCTGTGACCCCCAACCGGTCGTAAGTCGAGGACTACCCAACCGGTCGTAAGTCGAGGACTTTCCCTGCCCGGGAGCACCGCGCATGCATGGTGCCGCCCCCTGCACCGGCCGAGGCGTAGCTGGCAAGCGGCAGAGACGGCGCAGGCCGACCACCGGCCGGGCCACCAGCTGGCCCAGCCCAAGGGAAGTAAGGCATCCGCCGGGCCCACGCGCACCAGCAACCCTCCCTGCGCCCGCCGGCCTGCCACTTCCCACTCCTGGCCCTCTTTTACTTACATTTTTAGTAGTTGCTCAGCAGGGAGGGGTGGAAACTTCCAGACAGCATGCCTTCGCTGCAGACAACTTGCAGCACCGTTTGCAGAATGGGACTTTTGGCGGGCTCAGCAGGGCAAAGACAGCCTGGACAATTCCTGTTGGCTTTCGAAAGCCAATAGAATTAGACTCTATTCAAAAGAGTCTATTCTATTGGCTTTCAAAAGCCAATAGAATAAAAGGGAGTAGCACAGCTAAGGAAAAGGGGAAAAAATGGCGGACTGCATTGTTTGGCGACCCCCGTGAAATGGTCGTTT